AAATTGACTCGAGCATCTAAATTTTGTCAAAAATGTAATCTGTAGAGCATGCTTAACTTCTTATATTTTAATACAAGTCATTTTAATTACTATTTTAATCCATTTCAATGCTTTATCATGCACTAAATCAAGAGATGGTACACAATCACTTCCAACTTTAAATCACATGTGGTCACTGTTTGCTCATATGTGCCCTTCATTGAAAACAAAGTGTCACGGAAATTACAAGAGGGAGGGTGATTTGCTTGTCTTTTATGTTGGATGGAAAACAAGTCATCGAGAAATTGACTTCCCAATCTCGACATTGCTTTACGTGAGGGGAAGTTGCATTTTAGTCCTCACTTCTAAAAGGCTCCTACCTTTCAACGCGTGTGCTTGCGTTGATGTTTTGCACGTCCGTTGTCTCTTATATGAGTTAAATCTTTTGATACGTTTCTTTGATCCGTTGAGCAAGAGCTCTTCCGCACGGGGATTCCCGAATCACTATGGCTCCCAATCTTTCAAAATAATGATGATTTTAATAAATTTAGAGCATGTTCGAGCCCCATTATTTTGTTAAAATGTATTTTGGAATGGTAATTTGATTGAGAATGTATAGTTAAAAATTTAAGTTTGTGCGTAATATTATTTTATTGAAAAATGTGTGATTGAAAATAAGGCAAAAAATATATATTTTGGAAATAATGAGAATCAAACGATGGTTCAATATTGTACTGACCGGACTCCGCTTTTTGGGGTGAGAGGCTCTAGCCGTCAAGATGTTCTCTTTTGGGATAAAAACAAGTTATATAATTTCTTCATGCTCGTTCAAATTCGAAATTTTCAATTATCCACAAGAACATACATAACTAATTATTTGTTGACTTATTAGGACCATGCAATTAAATAATTACATTATATTAATCAATTATTATTAACTATTTTCTTCTTCTTCTTTTTTTAATAGAAAGGAAGAATTGTTGAGAGAATCTCAGGGCAATGCACTTGTGTAATACCTTGGCTGCTAACAAGGCCAATCACACGCGCTGTTAGCAGTGGAATGAGTGAAATTCATATTTGATGGGCATAAAAATCAATAAGTTTGAAGGGTAGGGGGCAAACTTGTAATTTTTCACCATTGACCTTGAGCTAGCTCGTTTTATGGCTCGGTATGCGAGCCGGCTAGATTATTTATTTATTTATTTAAATTGACAATTATTTAATTATTTTTTTGGGAACATGATGTAGTTGAAAATTGTAAACAGTTATAATTTTGTAATTGTTCGATAAAGTCAATGTGAAATTGTAAAAATTTTCCTCCTTTATTTGGATTTGGAACCGATTACACATAATATGTATGCGGAGTTAAAATTGTACGCGGAATATTAAATTGACAATTATTTAAATATATTTTCGAAACATGATCGAGTTGAAAATTGTAAGCAGTTAATTGAAAATTATACTTTTGTAATTGTTCGATAAAGTCAGTGTGGAATTGTAAAAAATTTTCTCCTTCATTCAGATTTGGAACCGATTACATAATCTGTACGTGGAGTTAAAATTTTACATGAATTCGTGTACATTTGGAATATGATGTAGTTGAAAATTGTGATTGAGAAAAAGGCTTGCAAAAAGGATGGGATGATTTCCCATCAAAATCTTTATGTCTTGGAGTGTTAGTAAATTAGCGGGTGATGCGAGTAAATCACGGACAATACTGAATAATGGAATTGTTGCATGTATCGCCTCCGAAGTAAATTGAAGAAATCGGTCCAATCAACGTTTCATTTCATGTTGGTGCTTAAAGCATATGGTTATCGTACATTTCCAACTCAAAAAAGTTTACATATGTATAGTTTGAACCCAAGTACAAATTACATAATTTTATTATCTTATCATATACGGAGGAAATATTTATTGTAAAATTTCGTTACTACCCTGTATGAAGGCTAAATATTCACTAACATGGGTAACACAAAAACTTAAATTGGGGCAAGGGTTTTCACATTGCATGGAAGAAGAAAAAGTTGTTTATAAAATTATAAAACATACACACTGTCCAATCATCATTAATCAAAACAATCTCGTTTTGACCTTTCATGAAAAATGTAGTCTTCTCGTTTTTACAACATATCGTGTCCCGTACTATGTTAATATCATTGAAAATCTACGTATAACCAAAAAAAATGAACGCGTCAAAAATATTTTGGAACATCAGATAAATATCGGTGAATCGGCATCTACGCCTTCATATTTCAGATTTTTCCTCCCAACTTTACTTAAGTTACCGTCCAACATCTGAGCCCCATATTGTACCATAAACTGTAAGCATTGGACATAAAAATCAAATTCAAAGGCTCTTCCCTAGCTGGGGAAAAAAATTGTTGCAAATGACCTATAACACTATTCTTTTCCACGCAATAAGTAGAAGAGATAATATGTTTCGTGCGACGAGGATGTTCATTTGATGCAATTTGAACACAAATAAACTTTCTTTTTCAAAGCTATATCATCGTCAATATATAAGGCTACTACATAGACGTGTTGATTGTTTTGAAGAGAATAAATCGAATCAAACGCCAAAGAAGTACTAATTTCATAATTTATGAAAACAACACTATATATTCATCTTACCAAATGTCGTAACACGACTAAGTGTTTAGTTGGATATATGAAAATGCTCCAAAAAACCTCAATTATTTTCATTCGATGAAGCTGATGATTAGCTAGCCATTAGATAAATTGCGTAAATACACAACAAAAATTTTGATGTAGAAATTGAAAACTTTTTGTCTAAGCGGTGTTAAATGAATACCAAATAGATTAGGAGTAAAAACAAAAAGAATCTCAAAATTAGGAGATTTCATAGTGGTTGCAATAAAAGTTGTATAATACTAGAGATCGATGGATAGTTGAAAGCCGTGTGGGAAACTTGCAGTTTCATACGTTCAAATTTCTCGGGCAACATTTGCCTGAAAAATCAATGGTGATTTGACAATAGTGACGAACCCGCCATTGCAATTAGTTTCTCTATTTGCAGCAATGAAATAGATTTGGGCTCACGAGCTGACAAGAGGCTTACATGAGGAAAATGAGGTTCAACTCGTGACACGACTCGCATCAAGGAGGGAGCTGAGCCGATAAGTCGACAATCTGTTCGTTCCATTTGACACTCCTACGTTCAACTTACCTTGAAATTTAAGTGAATGATAATTGCCCCTCAACTATATTTCCTTTTTCTAAAGAACCTTTAGACTTTATTTGCTTTTACCTTGTGAATGCAGGCTGATCAAGATTCCATTTTTCACGTTTGTTGCGTATCAATTTATCCTTCACGAATATTTCCAATTATCATCTTGTTGGAAATTTCATTGATGACAATAATAGCACAATCTTGGTTTTGAAGAAAATGAGAGTCATACCAATAGGCACTAAATGGTCAACTTGTTCACACAAGTGTCAAATTTTCATTGAGTCAAGTCAATTTTAACCAAATAAATGTCAATTTGTCCACAAAGACATAATTCATGTCATCATATGAAAATATAATCTTTTAAATTCTTCCTCTTGTTGGTTGAGCATGTTTGGATAACGTTTATAAACCGTTTAAATAAAAAATAGACAAAAATGAGTGATGAATAAACAGTACTTGCGAATCTTTTGAAATGCGTCAATAAAAAATGACTTTGAAATTTATTAATATGCATCTTTAAAAAAAGCCTAGGGGTCAAATTCCTATTAGTCAAACAGCGGCTAGAATAATTCTTAGGGATTGTCTGGGATTGATTAAAATCTCATTAAAATCAATTTTATGACCGTTGAAGCCCAATAACGGTAAAAATTCAGAGATTTCGGCTGCTTCTTGTGTGAGAAACGGTCAGATAAAACGGCACTTAAATCAATTTTGTGGGGGAGGAAAATCACTCACAGACAGGGTCTTAATATACATAATTTTTAATACATAGAGGTGTTCATACCCTTACATGGGGACACTCCTATGTACCAAAAATTATGTACGTGTAGCATCTCCCTAGATGCTAGAGTGAAATATAAGGTAAATAATAATAATAATAATAAATAAATAAAAGCTAAATTGAGGACGAGGGTCTTCACTTATTGGAAATTGTAGTTATTGTCTGCAACATTTTTATAATAATACTTTTGGAACCAAACGAAAGCAGTGGTTGGCTTACAACTCAGCAACTCCACCTTCATTTGCTAGGTAAATTCTCCGTTTTTTCTTTTCCTTACACAAGGAGATTTCCCCAAGACAACTGATTTTTGTTTACCTCTTTCAAATTGCACTTTATTGAAAACCTGACAAGTAATTTTGTTAATTATTACAAAATCAACACATTTGGCTTTTCAATTAATTGTGAAAAGGGTTTTTTGGGTTTCTTTTGAGTCAGTTGTATTGGAGGTAGTATGTTGTTCAGTAAATTTCTGTTTAATTTTGTTATGGCTTCAGGTTCTTCTTCTCTAGATCGAACTGTTTCTTTCTTTCTTTCTTTTTGTTTCCTTTTGAATTTGTAAATGAACATTCTTCTTTTAAGGAACTTCTGAGATCTATCAAAATATATTTCTTTAATGGGTATTATGTTTTTATTAGTACCAACCTTTTCATAATTTATTATTTCTTTTTTTTTCATTTGTGATCCAGATAAGGAGCTCAAGTTGTAGAATATTCGTGCAGCAGAGAAAAAAGAATAGAAAACTTGAATCGAAGAATTTTAATCTATCACTGATCGCAATAAGATATTCACCCAGAGCTGGTGTTGTTGCTGTTATGATTGTGAGTTCTTCTATTGATTGAGATTTTGGACTCTATAACATAGTGACAATGACGGGATAATAATTTAAGTTCCTCTGACGGATTTAAGCATAATACTATAAATCCCATTTGGAATTTCTTCCCTGCTACGACTGCAAATAAAGCTACTGCAACAAAACTATCCATATCTACAATGGCCGGGAATTGAATCCCATCTCTCGGGGAGAGGCTGCTTCAATTTCTAGCTAAAATGATCGACCAGTTTATTAATTTTGTCATTCGCCCACCCAGGTACGTTTATCTATGACACTTGTTCTCTAATTTTTGAATATTTTTCAATAGTGCTGTTTGAGTTTTTATTCTGTACTGCCAATGGATAATCTGAGTTGTCCTGAATTTAACTGATTGCAGAACTAACAGTCACATTTTAAACAAGTATCGTATTAACACCAAATCACTTGCACAGGCCACACTGGGTCTGTTCCTTTCCTTTCCTTTCCTTTTCTGAATTATAGATAATAATGTTGTGGAACTTCCTTTAAAATGGGAAGATACATATTGTATAATTGAAATGGTTAATGTTGAAGACATTAGTTAAATGATATTTATGACGTTCAACATGGTATCACATGACACAAAGGTCATATTGTCAAGTCTCGACGCCATCCATTTAAATTAAATTGTATACATGTTAGAATATGATTGGAAAAGTGAGCCCCACCTGCACGCGTAGGATGTATTGAAGATAATATTTTAAGTATATACACGTGGCCTTCTGTAACCTCAATTTTTAAGATCAAATGGTTCAACAATTAAAGAATTTGATTATATCTAGTTACTTCTAGGGCTAAAAATGGATCGGATATGGATTTGATATGCCTATATTCGATCCGATAGTCCAACAGATATTTGATTGTTAAATCCATATTCGATTTGCTATGTTGTTGGATATCTGATCGGATAATCCGATCCGAAATTAATAAAAATTAGGAAAAAAATCAATGTTGGAATCAAATCATCATACATTAAACGAAAAATTGAAAATCGTCAAATAAACCATTAAACCGACTGGTAGGGGTGTCCAAAAGTCCCTAACCTGACCGAACCCGAACCGAACCGAACCGAACCGAGCGATTCTTCATAAATTAAATACCCGAATGGGTACCCGAATCAAGAACCGATTAGTTTAGGTCGGGTCTCGGGTCTAGACCAAGAACCGAATAAGAACCGAAACTAAATAAATTTTTTATTTTTTATATTGAATTAATTAAATTATTTTATTTTTTTCTTAACAAATTAACAAATTAATTAAATAAATCAGATTATTTCATAATTTTAATTTTAAAGCCCAAATCATTTTTAAAACCCATTAGCCCATTTTAATTTGAAGCAAATGAATATATTTTATGTAGTGTTGCTGTAATATTAATATCTACTTTTTGGTATTTGTATGCATTGAATTAATCTTATTGGACGGCTAGTTATTTATGTGTTTTGAATTGAGTTACTTTAATTTGTAAAAGTTACGAATGAAATGTCATTAGTTGTATTTATGTAGTATTACTGTAAATATTAAAAAATTTAATTACGGAACCGAACGGAATGGAACCGACCCGAACTGAATCGAACTCGAACTCGAACGGTTCCATAATTATATTTGGACCCGATGGGTCCATTTATTAAATATCCGAATGTTTTGGGTCGGTTCGGGTCTCTTCAGAATCGAACCGAACCGACCCACGGACAGCTCTACCGGCTGGTTAACTATAAACCAAAAAATCGGATCTAGCTTTTTCAAATAAAATGATTTTATGTTTTTTAGGCTCACATGTTTTTACTAGCAAGCCCAATAGTGACTCCTACAATCATGATGTTCCTTTTTAAAGGAGAGATCATCTTCTAGTTTACTATTAACATTCGATGTGGGATAAGGTAAAATTGAATTTCAATTCTAAATATAAATATTTTATTTCATTATTTTCATTAACAAATCAAATTATTTGTTATATATTAATTATTAGTTTTTGCAGTTGTAAAATAAATTACAATAATAAATCTAATTAAGAAAAATATAGATATTTATTTTCTTTAGATTAGTAAACTAAAATTAAAAAAATCTATTGTTTTTATAATATTTTACATTTATGTGTATAGTTCGATACCGATTTGACTCTGATTCGACTTTTTGACCCTCGACCCTTTTCCTTTTCCTCGTAGATGCCCGGGTCGGTTTTTAAAACATTGGTCGAAATCAACTTCTTATTATTTTTATTATTATTATTATTATTTCAAATTTTCCAATTTTTAAACAGGTTTAATAATTATAAATTTTTCAAATTTTTTATGTTTTGGATTTGATTACTTTTTTATTCTAAATTTATTTATTTTCTCATTTATTTATTTTAGTGACAAATAATATGACATAAAAATATTTTACTGATTCAATTATTTATAACAAATTGGAACGGATTGTTATCGGATCAGATTGATCTATATCCATATTTGATCAATTTGGTTAACGGATTATTGGATTCAGATTTTGATCGGGTTATCGGATTGAGACCCTAAATCCATCTCCCATTAATTTTGTCGGATTCGGATCAAAATTCAATCCATTGACCGCCCTAGTTACTTCCACATTGAGTCTGTAGAGCAGAATGTAGAAGAGTAGAGTAGAAGTATCATAATAGGAAAAGTTAATTGTGTTGCTGGTGGAGTAGTTTTCTCTATTTGACACAGACAAGTTCTTGTGTGTTTATTTTAACTTCATGGGTGTCCTATAGTGTTCTTCAGAAGTCTGAAGAAGTTTACTTAGTTTGAATCATACAATTTGAAAAAATTTTCGGGTCTCATATTTTAGATACTACATGCCTAATCAGCTTTTAAATAATTTTTTGTGGTCTAGGTTTGACTATGTTGACAAATTCATCTTTTTCCATCATTTCCCCCCCAATTAATTTGTTCCATTTCCTTGACCAATGGATTTGTTGACTTCAAATCTGTTGGAGATACATCTTCTCAAATAAGTAGAAGTTTCTTTTGGTGCAATTACAAAGCTTATTTCTACTATTGTTGTTCTTTGGAAGTCTTTCCAATGCATATTAACTTTAGAAAGGATAATATAAAATCAAATATTTATTTCTTTGAGCTACGATGTGTAAATATCTAGTTATGTAACTGTGCTTGCTTCTGTCCTGTCCTTGGCAACTATAGCTTCAGATTATTATTGCTTATCACATTGCAGCAAATATAATGTACACTTGTATAAATATATTTGTATGTATTCAGTGCCTGTGACCTTAGTGCGCAATTTTTTAAACTTAGGATATAGTGGGACCCATATTCCTCTATACAACGTTCCAAATTGCTGATATATGTTGACCCATTAATTTTAGATACCTGGGTAATTCAGCTACATGTTTGTGTCTCTACTACCATAGAAAATTTCTTTATACTTTTTCCATAATGAATGTTATTTTTTTCACTACCTCATTAACTTTCTTACTCTCTCCTGCACGATGACATATACCACTTTGGATGACCCTTTTACACAATTTTTATAACCTATCCAACTCTTTTAAGTTTGTCCTTTTAATATAATACCTTTACCCTATCCATTTTTCATTAACTCGTAATATTAAAATTATGCAACGTCTTTCTGCTCCAACTGAGCATGTTTGCTATCATAGCTATTCCCCTTTTAAAGTTTTCCGTCTCTGTTTGGTAACAGGGCAGAATATAACCCTGATCTGTATCTGTGGGAAAAAGATTATGTTTGAGTTTTTATTCTGTACTGCTAATGGATAATCTGAGTTGTCCTGAATTTAACTGATTGCAGAACTAACAGTCACATTTTAAATGAGTATCATATTAACACCAAATCACTTGCACAGGCCACACTGGGTCTGTTCCTTTCCTTTCCTTTTCGGAATTATAGATAATAATGTTGTGGAACTTCCTTTAAAATGGGAAGATAAATTGTATAATTGAAATGGTTAATGTTGAAGACATTATTTAAATGATATTTATGACGTTCAACATGGTATCACATAACACAAAGGTCATATTGCCAAGTCTCGATGCCATCCATTTAAATTAAATTGTATACATGTTAGAATGCGATTGGAAAAGTGAGCCCCACCTGCACGCGTAGGATGTGTTGAAGAGTATTTTAATTATATACACGTGGCCTTCTGTAACCTCAAGTTTTAAGATCAAGTGGTTCAACAATTAAAGAATTTGATTATATCTAGTTACTTCTAGGGCTAAAAATGGATCGGAGATGGATTGGATATGCCTATATCCGATCCGATAATCCAACGAATATTTGATTGTTAAATCCATATTCGATTTGCTATGTTGTCGGATATCCGATCGGATAACCCGATCCGAAATTAATAAAAATTAGGAAAAAAAATCAATGTTGGAATCAAATCATCATACATTAAACGAAAAATTGAAAATCGTCAAATAAACCGTTAAACCGGTTGGTTAACTATAAACCGAAAAACCGGATCCAGTTTTTTCAAATAAAATGATTTTATGTTTTTTAGGCTCACATGTTTTTACTAGCAAGCCCAATAGTGACTCCTACAATCATGATATTCCTTTTTAAAGGATAGATCATCTTCTAGTTTTCTATTGACATTCGATGTGGGATAAGGTAAGGTAAAATTGAATTTCAATTCTAAATATAAATATTTTATTTCATTATTTTTATTAACAAATCAAATTATTTGTTATATATTAATTATTAGTTTTTGAAGTTGTAAAATAAATTACAATAATAAATCTAATTAAGAAAAATATAGATATTTATTTACTTTAGATTAGTAAACTAAAATTAAAAAAATCTATTATTTTTATAATATTTTACATTTATGTGTATAGTTATTTATTCAATTTGACAACTGGTTCAATACCGATTTGACCCCGATTCGACTTTTTGACCCTCGACCCTCTTCCATTTCCGGGTAGATGCCCGGGTCGATTTTTAAAACATTGGTTGAAATCAACTTCTTATTATTATTATTATTATTTTTTTCAAATTTTCCAAATTTTTAAACAGGTTTAATAATTATAAATTTTTCAAATTTTTTATGTTTTGGATTTGATTACTTTTTTATTCTAAATTTATTTATTTTCTCATTTATTTATTTTAGTGACAAATAATATGACATAAAAATATTTTACTGATTCAATTATTTATAACAAATTGGAACGGATTGTTATCGGATCAGATTGATCTATATCCATATTTGATCAATTTGGTTAACGGATTATTGGATTCAGATTTTGATCGGGTTATCGGATTGAGACCCTAAATCCATCTCCCATNTCTCTCATTAATTTCGTCGGATTCAGATCAAAATCCAATCCATTGACCGTCCTAGTTACTTCCACATTGAGTCTGTAGAGCAGAATGTAGAAGAGTAGAGTAGAAATATCAGAATAGGAAAAGTTAATTATGTTGATGGTGGAGTAGTTTTCTCTATTTGACACAGACAAGTTCTTACTTGTGTGTTTATTTTAACTTCATGGGTGTCCTATAGTATTCTTCAGAAGTCTGAAGAAGTTTACTTAGTTTGAATCATACAATTTGAAAAACTTTTCGAGTCTCATATTTTAGATACTACATGCCTAATCAGCTTTTAAATAATTTTTTGTGGTCTAGGTTCGACTATGTTGACAAATTCATCTTTTTCCATCATTTCCCCCCCAATTAATTTGTTCCATTACCTTGACCAATGGATTTGTTGACTTCAAATCTGTTGGATATGCATCTTCTCAAATAAGTAGAAGTTTCTTTTGGTGCAATTACAAAGCTTATTTCTACTTTTGTTGTTCTTTGGAAGTCTTTCCAATGTATATTAACTTTAGAAAGGATAATATAAAATCAAATATTTATTTCTTTGAGCTACGATGTGTAAATATCTAGTTATGTAGCTGTGCTTGCTTCTGTCCTGTCCTTGGCAACTATAGCTTCAGATTATTATTGCTTATCACATTGCAGCAAATATAGTGTACACTTGTATAAATATATTTGTATATATTCAGTGCCTGTGACCTTAGTGCGCAATTTTTTAAACTTAGGATATAGTGGGACCCATATTCCTCTATACAACGTTCCAAATTGTCGATATATGTCGACCCATTAATTTTAGATACCTGGGTAATTCAGCTACATGTTTGTGTCTCTACTACCATAGAAAATTTCTTTATATTTTTTCCATAATGAATGTTATTTTTTTCACTACCTCATTAACTTTCTTACTCTCTCCTGCACGATGACACATACCACTTTGGATGACCCTTTTACACAATTTTTATAACCTATCCAACTCTTTAAGTTTGTCCTTTTAATATAATACCTTTACCCTATCCATTTTTCATTAACTCGTAATATTAAAATTATGCAACGTCTTTCTGCTCCAACTGAGCATGTTTGCTATCATCGCTATTCCCCTTTTAAAGCTTTCCGTCTCTGTTTGGTAACAGGGCAGAATATAACCCGGATCTGTATCTGTGGGAAAAAGATTTTACTCTTGCAGGAAGAAAGTACAAAAGAGAAGATTTGGAGGCAAGTATGATGATCCTCTACCAAAACTTTTTATATGAATTAAAACACTGCAGATCCTCTTTGCAGTTCTGATTATATTTTCAAGTCTTTGAAATTATATAATGCAAATTTTGCAGCTTAGAAATGAAAGGGGCCATACCTTGAGGTGTAGTCATTATGTTCCTGCTCAATTCCCAGATGACTCTCCTCTTCCTTGTGTTGTATACTGCCATGGGAACAGGTATGTCATCGTTGGTGAAGAATTTTAGTGCGCCACGTATAATTGCTGTCTATTACAGTCCTACAGATGTATTTCTTCATTCTCACATTCAGGGGCATCTTTTGTGAATGCTGTGTGTTTGAGAATAAAATAACTGATAAACATGTTTAATATTTAGAATTTTCAACAATCTACTTATGCTAATTGTATTTAATTTCTACTTAAGGGGGAGGATTATAAACTAGGTTTTTTTGGCAATGAATGCTCGTATTGTCAGAGAAAGGAGGGGAAGGGGGAGGGAGTTCAGTAAATTTTGCAATTTCTGTGCTGAATATCTATTGTTTTCTATAGTTCACTTATCGTTTCCTCTCTGTTTCTGCAGTGGATGTCGAGCTGATGGAAACGAGGCTGCCGTGGTTCTTCTCCCTTCAAATATTACAGTATTCACTCTTGATTTTTCAGGTTCAGGTTTATCTGATGGTGATTACGTCAGTCTTGGTTGGCACGAGGTATATTCTCTTTGCTATTTTTCTGTACGTTTTATCCAATAGTTGGTGTCCGGGGTAATGTAAAATTTCTTGTTTGAATTTCAGAAAAATGATCTCAAGGTTGTGGTGTCATATTTGAGAAGCAATGAAAAAATTTCCCGTGTAGGTCTTTGGGGGAGGTCAATGGGTGCTGTAACCAGGTATCCAATCTTTTTTGGTTCGCACTAGCAATTCTACTATACGCATTGTTTTTACTGCCTTTTTTTTCTAAATCAATTGTTGCGTCTGATAATGGAACATCCAAATATAATTGCATGGTTTCTGGAGATTTTTCATTTTGTTCATTTTAAGTTTGGCAAGTTATTTTGTTAATAATGCATCAAAAGGGACACAACTCATTTACAAGTTCTTGGTGCAAATGTTACTCATAGGCCGGTCAGCTGTTCTCAGAATCCAGATTTAGATGCAAACGCTATATTCCCAACATTTTCTGGCAGGAACTTTTTACCAATTACTGTATATAATTCATTTTATCATTCATTTAATGCAGCCTTCTTTATGGAGCTGAAGATCCTTCCATAGCTGGAATGGTGTTGGACAGCGCCTTCTCTAATTTGTTTGATCTCATGATGGAACTTGCAGATGTATACAAGATCCGGCTTCCAAAGTTTACGGTATGAACCATCTTATATTTTTTCTTGTACAGTTAGTGGGTGTACACAGAGGGATGCTGAGAAGCACGGATACTTGTAAACTCATTACATATCCATATTCAATACGAATCCAAGTTGGATACTCTCCGATACAATCTGATATGTACCAGATATATGTTTTTTAATTATTTTATATATTTTTATTTGTTTTTATTTTCCGATACGTGACGATAGACATTTTTTTAATTATTTGATACTTTTTAATTATTTTTACCCATCCGATACGTCAGGACACGTGAAGAAAAGTGTTATTGGTGATTTTGATTCTATCACTGATTGGTATAATATGGATTCAAATACCCGGTGACACTTTATGGTTCACATGCATCTTTGCTTCATAGCATTGTTTTAAAACTCCTTATGCAACCTTATTCTTCATCTTGTGTTAAAAGAAATTGGAGCATGTACTTTTTTTTGCATGATATGAGAAGGAATAAAATAACTTCACGTCAAGCTGAAAAATTCATTTTCATTCACAGCAATATGCGTCTTTTATCAAGAAAATTTGATCTCTATTCAAAAGAAGAATCTAAAATGTGGGACATTGCTAGAGACTCATTTGATACTCTTGAAAATGTTGGATTACTTAAGGTTGCCAATCTACTATTAGATGAGCTAGAGTTGGAGTATGTTATTTTTAATGATAATGAAGAAATTAATGTTGATGATGTTGAAGAAATGAAGTTGGGATAATTAAGCCCCTGTTTGTCTCCAATTCTTTCGAAACTCTTTTTTCCACGTACTCATTTTCAATCACATATTCAAACAATAAAATATTCAACACGTAAATCCAAAAACTTTTTCCTGCTTTTAACCACACAGTTTTCAAAAATTCACTGTTCAAAACAATGTTTTTTCCAAAAAAAGGCACCAAACAGGGGCTAAGGTTTAAGATAAAATGCTTTAGTATTTTAATTTATTTCTATTACTATACTTCTATTATAATTTTTGTTTATATTAATGAAATGTTGAATTTTATAACACGTATATATGTATCCTAATTTTTAAAAAAAAAATCGTACTAGGCTACTAGCATACCCATATCGTATTGTATTCAAATTACATATCAATATCCATACTTTTTAGGAGGGATGTGTTCCTTCTGCTTGGCTATGTTTCCTTGCTTTGGGTTTTCTGTTATCTTATGAACTAATGCTAGCCGTTACATCTGTCATTGATATCTCCACCCCCTCTGTTCTGTATGAGATGCATCTTACCAACAGAATCATAAATTAGGTAAAACCTATGGCTGCTGTTCAGTTGTACTTTAGCTTATCATTTTCTGGATATATTGAAAGGAATTGAATGGTAGCGCATGAGAATTTCAACATCTTTGGATGTCCAAGGTGCAAAATAAATTAATGCATCACATTGAAGCCTATATTCTTTTTCTTTTGGGCACGTTCCCTTGTATATTAAAGGGGGGTGGGGGGCAACTTTTTTCCGTAAAGTCTTTATGATTGCTGGCTAATAATCATGGATATGTCTTGTAATCAAGTGATGAATATCTCCTTGCATGTTCAGGTTAAGGTGGCTGTTCATTACATGCGACGAGCAATCCGCAAGAAGGCAAAATTTGATATCAATCGCCTTGACTGCATACAGGTCCGTGTTCATCCTTTAGATTCCTGAGAATGTTGAATGTCCCTTGACGCACACTTTCTGACTTCACGGAAAATTGTAGTTCGGAGAACTAAATAAAGCCGTATTCACGCAATCGTAGATTTAACCTGGAAATTGTAACCAATTTTATCATTTTTCTCTTGCTCAATTTATAGAGCTCTAAACTAGCATTTTGGTACTAATGCCACTTTATTTTTTATGGAACTAATAGGTTGCGCCAAAGACATTTATTCCAGCTTTATTTGGACATGCTAAAGATGACAAGTTTATTAATCTTTGCCACTCCGAAGCCATCTTTAAGTCATATGCGGTACGGAAACATTTTACAGATCTTGCGTCATAACTTAATGATTTGTTAAGTAATAATTTCTTGATGCTGTGCAGGGTGATAAGAATATTATCAAGTTTGATGGCGATCACAATTCTTCTCGACCTCAATTTTATTATGATTCTGTATCAATTTTCTTCTACAATGTCCTTCACCCTCCTCGACCTCCATCTACATTTCCTGCTAAGGTTGAGAAATATTATGATTTGGGAGACCTGAAGGGCAGTGCTAGCAGGAACGAGGTAATTTCTGCTGCATTTCATTGTCTTTGCACAGTCAAAAAGTAGACCAATCTTTACTTTTTGTACGAGTATGATCAGCAAATGGAGCATTGATTTTTTTCTTTATCTTTTTAATCCCTTATCAAAGTTTGAATTGACTAGACATAACTTTGGTAAAATACAGTGTATTCAGAAGCTTGAAGTTTAAGCTTCTATGGATTTCATCTTCCATATTTGATCACACATAATTGATGCGTATTCTGTTATTACTGTATTACAATGCCACAGGATTATTCAAGTCTTCTGCATGTTTTGGTTGTTACGTTTTCGACTCAGTATTTGGCACGGCCTGGGATGTCTATTTTCATCCAAGAGCATAATCATTCTTGCTACCTCACTTAAAACATTAATTTTTTACCTATATGAATTGACACTTTATGTGTAATTGGTTTTGTTTCCCAGAATCTTTTATACGAGATTATAGCCGGTCTTCAGAATGTCAGTACCAACGCAGCAAGCTCATCTTCTTTACCACCAAGCATTGCAACGATGAAGTCCGTGGGGGAACTCCTTTCTGACATTGCACCAGTTGCTACTGTAAATATACAAAACCTGTCGCTTTCATTTTATTCAGCTCCTATATTTCTTAATCAAAAAGTTTCTCCTTTTCTTTTAAATGGATTCCTTAGAGCATGTTTGGATTAGCTTAATAGTTACTCTAAGTACTTTTCCTTTTTTAAGGCTTAGACAAACATGCTCTTAATGCTTGTCCAAAAGATGCGACTTTATTTAGTTGCAAGTGAGAAAAATATGGCTAAAGAAAACTGGATTCTTGTAACAGGAGAAAAATTTCTCATACCTTTTGTTTTCTATGTTAAATGGTAACTCCAGGATTCCTTGGTTACCGAAGGTCATATACGCTGTGACAATAGCCCGTCACTTGCACAGGTATTTAAATTTACTGCACGATCCAATATGAGATTTTGTGGTAATTCAACTTCGCTAGAGTTCTGAAATTTAAGCTCGCAAATTTGTCTTTCTTAGGACAAGCTAAGTACCAAAAATGAAGAGTGCTACTCATATACAAGTTCAAACAGAGAGAGTTGGGGAAGATGCTCATCTCTGGGCAGTGATGACGAACCTTCTTCCATGGATTGCATTAGAGCTACTGACTATGATCAGGTCTCTCTATCTCTACCTCTCTTGCGCTCAGTTGGAAAATGTGCATTGGTATATCTGCTGATCAGCAATGTTTTGCAAACAGATGCCTTTTACTTGATTCCTTTTAGCCAAGTTCTATTTGCTTTTTCTTGAAAAAAATTATATGCTTTTATCGCTTATTCACATTAATTAATGGATATGCAACACTGAGAAATATGTTATGCATCTGTATAGATTGAATATTGACAATTGAGCTAGTACCACAGAGAACTACAATAACTTGAGAAAGTAGAAAAGTTTAGTTTAACTAATGCCTTGCATTCTCTCTTCTTTCCCTATTTCTGTTAGCTATTGTTTATTGATGATTAATGCATTAATTTCATTTCAGACAACTATAAAGGTGCTTGCCACACCTCTTCGAAATACTCAACAAAGCACATTAAGCTCACCCAAGGATGAAAAGAAGAAGAAAGCATCCACAGAAACAAAGAAGTCCAAGCACGAGAAGTTTGAAAAGCTGGAGGCTCTAAGCCAGCGTTTGCGGCTTTGCATTCTGAAAAGAGTTAAGCATAGGAGACATTGCTCGTCATGACAACCTTTGTATCGTAGACTAGGAAATTGCTTTTATGAAATTGTGTTAATGTCCACTTCCTTATTCATTTAGTCTTTTCGTATTTCCAATGTATCAATGCACTCTTACTTTTGCTTTATATTGTGAAGTAGGCAGGCCTGGTTTTTATGTAACGTCATTGCCTTATTAGTTACATTTGATTTCTGCAAATTTGCTCTCTATCACCCTCCTTCAGAATACAAAAGAATGAAGGATGAAGTTTTAATGTTTTTCTTTCTTTTTTGCCCCAATGAATAAAAGAAGAAAAACATGTTTGGCAAGTGATACTTGCTAAAAGTCAAACTACTTATTATTCACATATTTCGAGGACGCAAGTACTACACACTTTTTCATACTCCTCTACGATGGCCCTCCTCTTTTCCTTCCCTTAAGAAACAAGGACTTCTGTTGCCTCATTTGAATTCCCATTTCATTCATTCCCTTCATCCAACTTCAAATGAAATGAAGAAACCCCTCCCCTTCCCCTTATCCTAAACATAGCCAAGTACAAGACTGGACAGAATCATAAACCCAAACAGATCATAACAAAAGAAAGTACACAGGTCATGGAAGGTAGACAGACCCGAAAGCCAACACCAGTGTTGGATGAGCAATGACCCAGTGATCTCATGTATTACACATGCATGATCTTTTTCCTGCGCTTATTTTTGTCTTGTGGAAGGTGGTGGCTTCTTGTGAAAGAGTTGGGCATTGCCAGTTATATTCCCAAAAATGGCTTCTGAGAGAACATAAGCCTTTCTTTTCATATCTAAGATATACAAGTCATATTAGACAAAGGGCAAGGTGGTTGCCAGATACAAAAGAATAAGAAATGTTGGAAGATCATTTGCATACAGTTTGTAGACGAAGGAGAGCACGGAGGACAGACGAGAACAAGTGATGGAGGACAGATGAGAACAAGTGAATAGTTCTAATTAGTTTAGGCCTTGAATAGATGGCGAAGTATCATAGAATTACTCCAGTTTATAGTTGCTAATGATCAACATCACCATCAGATAGTGATTAATACCCAGTTACTTCATAAAAAAAATGTCTTAGAGTTTTGCCAGAAAGTGCATGATGCATGCAGACGTTTACTATAAATCATCATTACATTAAACTGACAAATATAAATCATCATTACATTAAACAGAATTATTAGTGAAACCTAAAATTTAACCAGCTCTTGTGTAGAAATTCTAGACATAATGTCCAAACTCCATCTTCTGGTCATGTGCCGATCTTATTTTGTCACCAATGGTGTGACAGAGCAGACACTAACTTGAAAGAAATCTAGAAATCACAATGTATAGGTCTAAAATGTATATTCACTAACGCTAAATATAAAGATGAAAATAGATCACAATTTCAGCAACTTTAAAATCATTAGAAGATTTTCAAAACTATTTGCAATAGAATTTTGGCTAGGCTATCGAAAAATACATGATTCCAAAAAATCAAAGATCTTTATACTCCAATTATGAAACAAATCCATTCCAATTAGTGGTCTGTCTACCAGCCAAATAGCAGCAAGAATTCTACAGCATCGAAACTAACCCAACGAGCAAAACGAAAACATAAACAAAAAAAAAACATAAGAAATTGTATACTGTATGATCATAAAAAGTGAAAGAAAGAGAACACTTCTCCAAAAGATGAAAGATATTAAACTACACGAGTAAATAGCTAAATGTGTTCATCCAGTCAAGTTGAACTCAATTCTGAAATCCATGCAACACCTATTACACAAAATTCCAATTACATTTTACTAAGATTCCTAGCTGCAAGTTTGTAGAGTTAACCAATAGCAATGATCACAAAAGTAAGCCATTTAACCAGCAGAATACTACATGACATTGAGTTTAATACCTACATGCTCAGAATCACAAAAATCTTGCATAGCATAAGGTTTCATTGCTTAAAAGAGGACATCTGGGGAAAAAAAATCATTCATTTGAATAAATAAGAGAAAAAGTTGACTTTTTTCTTAAACCTTCAATCTTGAGTAGTAATGTAACCATCCTTTCGTCCCTCAAACCCGGGCCTCATCAACTTCTTCTCGCGCTTGGCAATCTTCCTCATCTTCTTCTCCTTAATCCTCCCCATGATATTATCTTTCCTCTTTTGTTGTCTCTCCTTCTTCATCTTCTCTTGTGACTCCACCCTCTCCTTCCACTTCTCTGCATTCTTCTCCTTCTTCCTCTTCTCTTTCTTCATGCTCTCCTTGATCATTCTTGCATCATCATGCACCTTCACCCCCATTGCTCGGCTGGTTGCTGCCTTCCAAGACTCCCTCTCGGCCACACCCATGTTCTCCCTTTTCACCTCCTGCAACCTCTTCACCTTCTCCAACTCCTTCACCTTCGACATTTTATTCTTCTTCGTTTTCTTATTCTTCCTCTCCTCTTCATCCCCTAACTTAACTTTCCCATATTCAATAATCTCCTCTCCATCTTCCCCCTCATTCACATCCACATTCACCACTTTGCTACTCTCCTCTCCATCATTCTCACCCCTCTTCCTCTTCTTATCATCGACCCTTTTTCCTCCACCCTCTCCCCGATTGCCACGCAACAAATCAATCTTTTTCCGCAATTTCTGCCGCAACTCTTCGTAAGTAACAGACTCATTCCTATTTACATTCCCAATTCCCTCCTCCAAATCAGTAGACTTAACCCGAGCCTCCCCCCCGTCACCATCCTCTTCCAAATCACCAAAACTACCCTTCTGATTCAGTTCATCTGGGTCGGGTTCCGGTATTTTGTTAATTTGTTGTTGGAGAAGGTGGAGGGTGGAGGATGACGACTTGTTCTCCGGGTCAAGGCGGTTGCGGCGGGCGAGTTTAAGGTTTTGCCTAGATTGTTGTTTCAAAGAGGCTTTGGCTGCTTTGGAGAGACCCTGGTACCAGGGCTTGGACTCTGCGTCGTCGATTGAGAGGTAAAATTTAGCCGGAATCAATTCAACTAAATGGTCGAAGAATTGGCTGTGCGATAGGATTATTGATTTCAGTTCAACGAATGGTGTGGGCGTGGAGGAAGAGGCTCTAATCTTCTGCTTCTTCTTCATCCTGGGGTTCAAGCTTGCTAGCTGAAGAATTAGGGTTAGGGTTTTAAGTTTGCAGTTTTGTCAATTTATGAATTTTAAAAGTTCTTTTTCTAAATTTATCTTCTATTCAAATTATACTCCATCCGTCCCAATTATATAGGCTGGGTTTCCTTTTTCTCCTGTCCCAAATATATAGGCTTGTTTCCTAATGTAGAATATTTTATTGTGTTCTTTTACTAATATACCCTTATTAAATTTTCCCCACTTAATATGCAAACTTATTGAAAATTCAAATTCTTTATGAATTCCAACAATAATTTAGTTTTACCCATTAAAAATTAAATAGGGGTAAACTAGGAAAGATCTTGACAAAAATTAATTTTCCAATGACATTAAATAAGTTTTCTTAATCTGTGTGAAAAACCAAACAAGCCTATATAATTGGGACGGAGGGAGTAATAAAAGTTTATATGAATTAATTAAAATCTTTCTAATTGAAATTTTAATACATATATTTTCTTAAATTTAAGCATCCCCAATAACTTT